AAACAAAACGATTAGCTGGAAAAACGAGAGGCTCCAGTTTGTTATATGACACCAGATGGGAAGTTTACTCATCCTGATCTACATCCCTAAGGACCAAACAATCCAGGCCTTAACTGCCTTTCTATAGGACTGGGAGGAGGGGGTGGGTTGGTCAGCTGTGTGTTTTTGAGGAAGCGGGAAGAATGGCTCCGTAGAGCAGGCAGCACCACAGGGAAAACCTGTCTCCTGGGTGCAGTGAAAGTAACATGGCTTCAGGTCAGGGATCCATAGCGTGACTTACACCCTAGAGCCCTTTCTGTCAATAACCGTAGCAGCTGCTAAAATAGAGGGAGAAGGTGTCGGCTATTAAAGTGTATTTGTAAAGGCAGCCTAAAGAAAGGAACAAGACTAACTGGATAGTCCTCGGCTTAAAATGGTTCATTTAGTGACCCTTCAAAGTTACGACGGCACTGGAAAAAAAATGACTTACAACTAATTTTCATACTTAACGATCGTTGCAGTATCCCCATAGCCATGTGATCAAAATTCGGATGCTTGGTACCTGGCTCCTGCTTATGATGGTGGCAGTGTCCTGGGATCGTGTTTGTTTTTGTGACCTTCTTATCAGGAAAATCAAATGAGGAAGCCAGATTCACTCAACAACCATGTTACTAACTTAACAACTGCAGTGATTCCCTTAACTGTGGCAGAAAAGGTTGTAAAATGGGGCAAAATTCATTTAAATGCTTCAGATTAACAGCAAAAATTGTGGGCTCAATTGTGGTCGTAAGTTGTGGACTACCTGTATTTCAAAGAAGAGATAAAGTTTCTTTCCTAAAGAATGCAACAAAACTATTTCAAAGATATGTGAACAAATCTTTCTAAGTAACCTAATCTAATAGGATCCATCCTTCCTTCCTTCCTTCCTTCCTTCCCTCCCTCCCTCCCTCCCTCCCTCCCACCCACCCACCCACCCACAACTCAAGGTAGAGAATATACCTACTAATATTCCTTCCTTCTCTCTTTTCCACCCGAAGAGCAACCCTGTGAAGTAGGTTGGGCTGACACGGAGTGATTAGTTCAAGGTCCTCTGTCTGGTTTTCATGCCTAAAACTAGACTAGAACCCACCATCTCTTGGTGATTGACGCAAAGTCATCCATCTTTGATTACTAAGGTGGGACTAGAACTAGAACTCACAATCTCCTGGTTTTTAGGCCAGCGCTTTCCACACAGGAAACAAACTGGCAGCAGAAAGTGACCTAAAGGTCCATTAAATGTGTCCTTTGAAAGTTTTGTATCCGATTATTTTTAATTTTTGTCAAATGATGGACATGTGTTTATCCCAAATATGTTTAAACTCAGTTACTAATGACTGACCTCCACTGGAAGTTGGTTCCAAGCTTACTCTTTCTGTGAAGGAAGATTTCTAATGTTACTTTTAAACTTCCCTCCTGTCAGTTTGCAGTTATGCCACCATGTTTTTAGTTTTTACATAATATTGAAAATACCGCATCCCAGAATCTTATTCATGCCCTTAATATCTTTAAAGGTTTCCCAGTCATGTCCCCACTTTCTCTTCTGTCCTCCAGGCTGTTCATACTAAATTCCTCCAATCTCTCCTGATAGGTTTTGTCCCTTATGACACCCTGCACCATTTTTGTTGCCATTTTTGTCTCTGGATTCCTTCAATATCTTTTTTTTTTTAACTGAACACAAACTGTGTCCAGAACTGGGCACAGTATTTATTCCAAATAGGGTCTGACTAAAGCCTTCTTATAGTGAGACTAGAACCTCCTTTTTCCCATTGGTGATCAACTTATAATTACAAATAGGAACTCATTTGATTTTATAGGCGAAAGATTCTCTATTGTTTTAATGATATGCATAAAAGACGTATCCAACCATCACACCATGCCGTCTGTTGGGTTGCTTAAACTGCTCTTAGTGTTAGGCAATTTTCTGGCTTCCTTGGAATTTAAACCATTGTTTTCACCCTGTCTTATGCAATAATTTTCATACTGCATGGTAGCCTTTCAGATCTTTGAAAACCTCTGTCTCCAGCAGTTGTTTCTTCTCTAAAGATACCTGGTCTCTCCTGCCATTTCTGCTAGGTTTTTTTCCCCCAGGTCTCGTGTCATTTTGGTTGCTTCCTTCTTCAAATGCGTGTAGATGTCTTTTGGTTTATTTATGAGATTCTTATCCCGCCTTTATTACTTATGAACAGGGGCGTCAAACTGGATTTCTTCAAGGGCTGGATCGCCACTCCATGGGCCGGCTTGGGGGAGGGGAGATGGGATCGACTCCTACTGTAGCACCCCGATGGCCACAACGGGGTGCAGGGGGGCTGGTCACGCCCCCCTGCTTTTGGCCTGGGGATGGCCTCCTGCAGCACCTTGCTGGCCAAAATGGGGGTGCTGGTTTGTTTGTTTGTTTTTTGCTATTTCCGGGTCGGCCCTGCCAGCCAGATATAAGTGCCCTGCAGGCCCAATCTGAGCCACTGCCTTAATTTTGACATACCTGCTTTAGAAGTAATTCAAATGCTTTTCTTTCTTCCTGCTATCCCCACAGCAACAACACAGTGAGGTGGGCTGGGCTAAGAGTGACTGGCTCGAAGTCACCCAGCCAGCTTTCATGCCTAAGGCGAGACTAGAATTCACTGCCTCCTGGTTTCTAGCCTGAGCTTTAACTACTAGACCAACCTGGCTCCTGGTTTAGGGTTGTTGTTTTTTTTTAAAGTAGACATGCCTTAAAAATAAAAACTGAGGTTTTTCCACTAGCTTAGAAAGAGGTGGTCAAATCACCTACAGGTAGTCCTTGACTTACAACAGCTCATTTAGTGACCATTTGAAGTTACAACTTCAGTGAAAAAAGTGACCGGACCGTTTTCCACATTTGCAACTGTTGTGGCATCGTCATGGTCATGGGGTCAAATTCAGGCACTTGGCAACTGTCTCATGTTTATGACGGTCGTAGTGTCCTGTGATCATGTGATCGCCTTTTGCGATCTTCTGACAAGCAAAATCAATAGGGAGGCCAGATTCACTTAACAACCAAGTGAAAGAAAGGTTGCAAAATGGGGCAAAATTCACTTAACAAGTCTCACTTAGCAGCAGAAATGTTGGTCTCAGTTGTAAGTTGAAGACTACCTGTACTGTAAAATTGATTTAAAGTCCTGACACCTCCCTCCCTCCCTCCTCATATAATTTGGCTTCTTCCTTTTTGAATCTAGACAAATGATTAAAGCTATAATTTATTATCTTGTGTTGTTTCCGTCCTTGCTTCTCTCACCGCTACTTATCTGTTGAAATTTGCAGATTTGTTCTTCTGTCCTATAGATTAAGCCAATCCCAGAATGGCTAAAGTTTCTGCTTGCTAAACATACCAGGGAATGTTTTTTTTTTCTCTCATTATCTTTCATCCTTCTGAGGACATGAAAGGGTGATAGAAGTATCCGAGGTCAGTAAATTTGGAAAGAATTCGGTGTTGACTTTATTTAAAATAGATGTTATTGTTGAATAAGCTAGAATGGCTGGGCTCACACCGCAGTAAGCCAAACAAATTACTTTGTCTTTGGGCAGTGAATATGATGAATGTATGAGTATGGCAGTCTTATAACACCCTCCCATAAAACTAATGATGAATAAACATACCATTTGTAATGATTAAATGTTATGCCTATCGGTAAAATCATAAAAACAATCACGTTTAAAACTATATTTCTAATAGGTAGGACAAGCCTGCCTATTAGTGCATAATTCCTGAAACCACTCTCATTTCTTGCTCCCTTTTTATTTTGGGTCAATGGTTCTTTATAGCAGCAACTACAATACAGGCAGTCCTCAACTTACAGCCAAAACTGAGCCCAACATTTCTGTTGTTAAGTGAGGCATTACTTAACTGAGTTTTGCCTCGTTTTATGGCTTTTCTAGACAGTTATTGAGTGAATCGCTGCAGTTGATAAGCTAGGAACTTGGGTTCTTAAGTGAATCCAGCTTTCCCATTGACTTTTCATGTCAGAAAGTCACAAAAGGGGATCACATGACCCTGGGACACAGCAACAGTCATAAGTACGAAACCGTTGCCAAGCATCTGGATCTTGATCACATGATCATGGGGCTGCTGCAAAGGTTGTTAGTGTGAAAAACAGTCCTAAGTCACTTTTTTCAGTGCCGTTGTTACTTTGAATGGTCACTAAATGAGCTGTTGCGGAATAGCTGTATAACTCTTTTAACTGTACACAGACCAGAGTTGCTCTGCGAGTAAGATGGGCAGTCTCTTAAATTTGATACGTAAAATAAATATAAAGATATAGAAGCTGTGTTAAGAACTATGTGCTAAAAGTGTGGGTTGGGTATTTCAAATAGTGATTATGATTCTCATAATTATCAACATACGCTAAACGTGTGGATTGGCTATTTCTTAAGTATTGATTAGGATTCTCATAATCATCAGTGTGATTTTTACATCACGATTATACTAATTGATTGCAGAAATGTTACAAATACTAAAATCAAAGTTAGCCAGTTAAGCTGGACTTGAGTCTTAACAGTCCTATGTGTGTGTGTGTGTGTGTGTGTGTGTGTGTGTGTGTCTGCGTCTGTGTATGTGTTCTGTGTAGTACTAAAGTGATTCCGTGGCAGAAAGATTTGCTGGCGATGTCACCTTTTGCCTGCAGAATGCCCAGTTGGGGGCTCCTTTCGTGTCTCCGTGAAGTTGCCCACCAAAGTGGTACCCATTAATCTTACTCTCAGTCACCCTTTTTTTGAACTGCTGGGTTGGCAGGAGCTGGCGTGTATGACGAGAGCTCCCCCTCCCACCTCTTGGCAGCAATGGGTCTAAAACGCAAGCCTGCCGATCACCAGCCCGGCATTCTAATCTCGCGAGCCACCAACCTCCCAAGAGTAGTTTCAATGTCCTAACTTGTATTAATCTGAAGATACAACGATAGATTTTAATGTTTGTTCTTCCTGCTCTTCTTTTTTTCCCCCTTTCCGTCTACTTTTTTTTTTTTTTGGGCAGTACAAGTGCTTAAACCATCTTCAGCAATATGGGGTCAGAAAATCCAAGCCCGCAAAATCCCAGCTGCAAAATTATGACGTTCCATCCAACACTGGAAGAATTCCAGGATTTTGGGAAGTACATTGCTTACATTGAATCGCAAGGAGCTCACCGGGCAGGGCTTGCTAAGGTAAGTGTGCTGTGGATTCCACTTCTTAGTGGTTTAGGAAGTTAATCTCGGCTAGCCCGGAGCAGCCTTTAAAAGCTGTAAGTTCTTCAGCAATCTCATTTTTATGTGCACAAATCCCTCAGAAAACTGTCTTCTGTCAGGTTTGGGCTTTAAAATATAGGCAATTAATGTCTCATACTAAATTTCCACTCTCAGCTTTAAGATTCTGGTAGGGATCTACATTATGGATTCTCTCTCTCTCTCTCAAAAAAAGATTGTTTTGGGATATCAAGGCCACTTACAGGTAATCCTTGACTTACAAGTACAACTTGGACTGGAACTTTCATCACTTAAGCCAGGAATTCTCAAACTTGGCAACTTTTAAGGCTTGTGGACTTCAACTCTCAAAATTCCACAAGTCTTAAAGTTGCTAAATTTGGAGACCTCTGACTTAAGCAATGCAATTTTTAAGTGAGATGTACCCAATTAAAAAAAATTTTTTTTCCACGGTCATTAAGCAACTCATGTGGTCCTTAAGCAAATCTGGCTTTTCCCATTGACTTTACCTGTTGAAAACTCCTCTGGGAAGCTAATAAATACACCTGTCATAAATACATGTTGGTTCCCAAGCAACTGAATTATGACCATAGATATACGGTTGACAGTTGTAATGTGAGAATTGATCAATGTCATTTTTTTTCAGTGCTGTTGTAACTTGGTCATTAAAAAGGGGTAAACATGCTATTTGATATCCTGTCTGACCCCTTCCCTCACAAATACCCTCTCCTGCCTTTTTATTACATTTGGTTTTTTTTGTGTAAAGGAGCACATTTCTGGATAAAATACTGGACTGCAGGCAGTCCTCGACTTACAACAATTCATTTAGTGACCGTTCAATGTTACAACACTGAAAAAAAGGGACTTATGACCATTTTTCACACTTATAACCATTGCGGCATCCCCATGGTCAGGTGATCAAAATTCAGACCGTTGGCAACTGTCTCACATTTACGATGGTCGCAGTATCTCGGGCTCACGTGATCCCCTCTTGCGACCTCCTGACCGGCAAAGTCAACAGGGAAGCCGGATTCACTGAACAACCGTATGACTGACTTATCAACTGGAGGGATTCCCTTAACAACTGTGGCAAGAAAGGTCGTAAGATGGGGCAAAGCTCTCTTAACAAATGTCTCGCTTCAACAGATTTTGGGCTCCATTGTGTTTGTAAGTCAAGGACTTGAGTTTTTTTTTTTTTTCCAAAGTACAAAAATCAAGTGAGATAGACAAACAAGGGATGTCTCTGGTTACACACTGGGAGGGTCAAATTGAGGGTTCCAGAAGTAGCTCATATTTTTTTTCCAACACGGTTTAATAAACAAAACACAGTTCACCTGTTCCACATAATTGCTATTAATTGTCCTTTAACCCCCCCCCCCCCCCAAAAAAAAAGCTTAAATGAACCAAATGATGCCCCTGTGTCAGTATAAAATGTGTATGTGCCTGCCTTGCTTTGAATACATTGAGTATAAATACATTGGAGCACATCTGTCAGGTTTTTCTGTTGTTGTTTTTTTCCCAAAATTGTTTTTGGTTTGGCCGTTAGGGCTGCTTTGGCACAGCTTGATATCTAAACATTTACAGAGAACAAAATGGAGCGCAGCTTTAAGAAGAAGGGAGACCCTGGCTCTTCATTAAAGTGGGTCAAATAACTCATTTCATTACATTTTCACAGGGGACGTGGATATTGATAAAAGCTTTTGTGGATATTTTTCCTTGTACTTTCACTATAGGTAGGGCGACAAAGGGTATTTTAATTGGCTCCCAGACAGTTTTAGAGAGCAGATGCAAACCTGCCCCTTTTGAGGCTTTTAAAGCTGTTCCATTTTTTTGGACAAACAAGAATTTCCTTTCCTACAGAGACAGTTTTGTATTGTAGGTGAGTAGAAAATAGGAATAGGATTTCATGCTACAGGTAGTACGACCCCAGTTGAGTTCAACATTTCTGTTGCTAAGCAAGACAGTTGTTAAGTGAATTTTACGGCATTTTACAATTTTTCTTGCCACCCTTGTTAAGTTAGTAGCACGATTGTGAAGTGAATCCGGCTTCCCAGTCGAGATGATTAGACATTTTAAGACCCGAATAAAGTTAGGAACACAGATTATAAGAGGGAGAAGGCAGCAAGGGCATTCCAAAGCCCAACCCAGAGAGGAAAACGTCAGAGGCCACAGCACAGATCCCAAAGCGATCTTATTCTTGAAACAGATTGAGTTTCTGGCTAAGAACCTAGAGTAAAACGCACACTTGGGTGACAGAAACAGGAAGTCAAGGAGATGTAGACAGATGTTGTCCTTTTATGCAGAAGAGAAGAATCCTTCCCTTTAGCTCGTTTGTTCCCATGAAACGTGATCTATTCAAGAAAAAAAAATTATTCCCCACCTTTGCAGGTGATCCCTCCTAAGGAATGGAAGCCCCGGAAGACTTACGATGATATCGACAGCATGGTGATCCCTGCTCCCATTCAGCAAGTGGTGACTGGCCAGTCTGGGCTTTTCACCCAGTACAATATTCAGAAGAAACCCATGCTGGTTGGAGACTATCGGCATTTGGCTAATAGTGAGAAGTACGTACATCTGTGGTTAAGACTGTCTTGGCTTATAATTAAACAGAGCACGGGATTCTTTTTGTTTTTTCTCTTTGTAGTAAAAGTATGCAGAAAAACACATGCTTTGGTTCTCACATTTTTTTTTTCCCCTGGGTCGCATTGAGCTGCCTCTGTGTCACATTCTCCGGTGCTTTTATTGACTACCCGTCAGCATCATTTTGTAGAATAGAGTTGGCAAGGCGGTGTTTTAGTTTGGAGTGAACTAAATAAATTGCCCTACATTTATTAGGGCATTAAATGATGTGGCCCGCAGCCCCATTTCATCAGAAGGGAGCTCAACGCTGGTTTACAAAAAAATGTATTGCCAGTTCTTAATTCTGCTTTTTCCTTACCAGGTACTGCACTCCGCGCCATCAGGATTTTGATGATCTGGAACGCAAATACTGGAAGAATTTGACTTTTGTCTCCCCTATATATGGGGCGGATATCAGTGGTTCACTGTATGATTCGGTAAGTCCCCGTGAAATAAGGTTGGAGCATATATACAATGCAGATTTAGATAATGTTGAAACAGGTCAAATCAGAGTTCCCTGACCTTTCCGGGTTGGCCTGGAGGGGAGAAAGGGAATGTGGGAGGGGTGAGCAAGCGTGCGCATGTGTGCATGCCCACACGTACCCATTGCTCACGCGAGTGGGGCTGGAGAGCACCCACAACGCTCACACAGCTAAGGCCCCAAGCGCTTGTGATGCTTGTGCGAGTGGGGCTGTGCACCCGCGAATCCAGGCATGCACACCAGGTGCTGGCCCTTCCTGTGGCCCACTGGCGAATAGGCCGTGGCCCACTAGTGGGCTACAGCCCACAGGTTGGGAACCCCTGGGTTAAATTATACGAGAACCTTAGGGTGAATTATCAATTAATGGGAATGTTGAGGACTACTGTTGTCAGTATGTATAACTTCTTCCAACAGAATTGGGGCTGTTGTGATTTTTCTATGGAGATTCTCAGTCATCCAGGTCACGGTTGTCCCAAGGGTGCTTTTATTTTCAAGAGGCACCTGGAATTTCTGGTTTTGCTTTGAAGACGTTTCAATTTTTTTCTGAAGAAGCTTTCTAGGATGAGGAGCGAAACATCTTCAAAGAATAAACCAAGAAAGTCCAGTTGCCTCTTGGGGGAAAAAAAAAAAGCCCCTTTGGGGCTGTTGTGATTAATTGTTTGGAAGTAGCAAAAAGTCCTCAACTTACAAGCACAACTGGAACCAGAATTTCCATTGCTAAGCGAAGGTTACGGGCATCCTACCTGATTTTATGACCATTCTTGCCACAGTGGTTAAGCAGATCCCTGCACTGCTCAAGGGAGTCAAGTGGTCACTAGGCAAATCTGGCTTCCCCCATCGACTTTGCTTGTCGGAAACCCCTGGGAAGAGATCCCAAATGGGGATCACATGACCCTGGGATATGCTGCAAGTATCGTAAATACATGCTGGTTGATGGTGTGACTGAGGATCCTGTGACGGCCATAAGAGTGAGGACCAAGTATAATTCCCCTTTTCCCCCGTTCTTTTGTAACTTTGAACAGTTGCTAAACAAATAGCGGTAAGTTGAAGACTACCTGTCTATAGCTCTGAAAGTCATTTTAGATTTGTAGGGATTTCATGGCCGGGCCCTTTGAAGGCAAACCATTGTTGATAACCAAGTCTGCATTACAGGTAATCCTCGATTTAAAAACAGTTCATTTAGTGACCGTTCAAAGTTACTGTTCTGACCTAGGCTTCCTTAGAAAGCATAAAACACAATCTTAGTCCCGGCAAAACCTCTTTTTGTTTCCACAGCTGTGAATTACATTCATTCACAGCCTGCCAGGCTTCACCAACCGTCTTTCCGGGGAATGCTTATAAACACCCACCTTATCACGCTTGGACCAACTAATTGCCAGACGCAGGGCGAGGCCAAAAAATACCCTGGCCTCATCTCTGCCTCCGACGCAGAGCCTCTCTCGGGGCCTTCCTCAGCCTCCAGAACAGGCCCAGGTTCCTCCCCAACCTCCTCACTATTGTCCAACTCAGCTGCTGCCAGGCCACAAGAGTTAACAGCCATGCTGAAAAAAGTGGCGTAATGACCATTTTCTACACTTGTGACCCTTGCAGCATCCCCATGGTCACATGATCAAAATTCGGATGCTTGGCAACTGGTTCATATTTATGACGGTTGCAGAGTCCCTGGGGTCACGTGATCTCCTTTTGCGACCTTCTAACAAGCAAAGTCAGTTGGAGAAGCCAGATTCACTTCACAACCGGGTTGCTGGCTTCACAACCGGCAGAGATTCACTTAACAGTGGCAAGAAAGGTCGTACAATGGGGCAAAATTCAATTCACGAATGTTTCACCTGGCAAACATAAATTTGGGGCTCGCTCGCGGTCAAGGACTACCTGTGTTCTTAATGTAAACTGGACCGGGCTGGCTTTCAGTCAGAATCTTTCCCTTCTCTTTCCCCTCTTTTTGTACCAATTTCCCTGCGTTATTTTTAGAAAAGCGCTTTTCATTTTTCGTTCCATCTGTGAAATGAATCTTAAAAAGTTGTGGTAAACAGGTTGGAGACAGCCGGCGGGAGCCCATGTAATAGCGGGTGTTTGAGTTTGTTTTGTTCTCAGAGCTGCTCCGTGGGCTATGAGATGTCTGGTAACCCTGCTGCTTTGCAATCGCTGCTCCCTTGCCAGATGTTTTTCCTTCTGAGGCCGCCTGTGAAAAATGACCCTCAGCGCCCCCTTCCCTGCGTGGGGGGATGGAAGGAGCGCGGGCTTCTCCTTTGACCGCCTGGCTTTGTTTTCTTCTCCCAGGATGTGGAAGAGTGGAACATTGGGAACCTGAACACTCTCCTTGACATGGTGGAGCATCAGTGTGGGATTATCATAGAAGGCGTGAACACCCCTTACCTCTACTTTGGGATGTGGAAGACCACGTTTGCGTGGCATACGGAGGACATGGATCTCTACAGCATCAACTACCTGCATTTTGGAGAGCCCAAATCATGGTGAGCCTGTGACGATGGAGATTCCGCTGGGATGTGACAAAAGTTACTGGTAGAAGAGAATATTTGTAGCCCGGGGTTGAACTGTGGGGTCCTTGATGCTCTCTTGAGGGCGGTGGTTTTCTTGCAGACGTTTCATTACCATGCTAGGTAG